TAAATATCATGCTAGATCAATGGGTCACTCTTGACTTGAGGGGAAGTCCAGTACTTCTGTCTTGTATAGCACTGTATATTCCCCTTTGGAAAGCTCCAAGTGACATGCTGATTTAGCATGAAAGAAAATAGAGAGTGTTCGACTCCAAATGACCCAACTAAATGACTGGAAATTTTTAGCCTTATATGCTGCATTTGTTTCTACATCATAAAATCAGGCTATTGTAAATAAAAAGGACACATTATTTCTTTACTTGCAAATATTACGAAGTTTATCATTTATTTATTATGATGCACAGTCAGAGCCAATAATGCAGCAAAGCCAAAAACAATGAACTTTCTGCAGAACATATTATTCTGACAAGCTCATCAGAGACTAATTAAATTGGGAGCGAGGTTAAGTGCAAAGGAATGGAACCCTTAGCTGGCATAAATTAGTAGACCTCCTCCTTGACTTTAAGGACAGTGTTCTCATGACTGGGTGTCTTGCTCTCTAAATGTGAAGTGGATGAAGCAGGAAACCAAGAAGAAATAGGCTACCATGACCCCCTAAATTTAATGTCACTCCTGTCAGTGGTATTGTGTCTGGAGTGAATTTGGTTCAGCAAGTTTTCCTCCATCCATTTACTTTCCTGTTCCTATTTAGGAGAAAACATGGTCTCAGTAAATACCTAAGCATGTGCTTTAAATCAAGCTTGTGCTGACGTCCCATTGGCTTAAGACTTAAATGTGAAATAAGGGCCAGATTCTATTCCACAAATATGGCGCCTAAGTAGGATCCAGCTTGATTTCTTGAAATGCCAAACGTAAGTCAGTCCTCTTTGTCCTCATTGCTTTTTTGTGACTTAGTCTTCAGGATAAAATGAGGGTGTGCTACAAATGTAGAGGCATAAATGGATTGTTCAGCATTTGAACAAGGCAGAATAGGATTCCATGTAGGGCCATTTCCTGTTCCACCTCTGAGATGCGTAAGTCCTTTCCTGAACGTGAGTTCATGCTGTTATTTCCCTCACAAATTGGCTGTATAATGTTGCTGAATAACAGCTGCCATATCCCAGTGCAGAGGTGGCTTCTTTTCAGCACTGAGGGAATGTGAAGGGATCCCTTTGTGAACCGTTTAACACTTAAGTGCTCTGGTTCATGTTAGAAGTGCTATGTCAAGGGACATATTAAATCCATAACAACTGCCAGAATACAACGCAATACAGGATTTCAAGGCCCTGTCCAACAGCATTATTAGCCAAGCTGATAGAAATCTAATGAAGTTTGCATCTGGAATGGAGCAGGTCCAAATCACTTTTATGTGTGATAATAAAAACGCGTTGCTGCATAATCACCATTGAGTGGTGACAACAGAGTCCTTTTCATTAAAACAATGTTTTAAATGAATACCTGCTGATGAGTGCTGTAAAAGATTTAAAGGCATGTACAAAATAATCCTAAATGCTTTTTTTCTTTGGTGGGAGGCAGGGGGTGGGGGGGGTGTTCATTTTTGCTTTTTTACAAATTGACTGTATAGCCTGAACAGTCCTTATGGCATGAACCATAGTTGCTGGTATATTTTCTAAAGGCACAGAATGGTTTCTGATAGCAAGATTTAGGACTTCTAAAGCTGCTAAGAAATTATATTCTCTCAAATGAAATTGAGATGGGTTTTGAGAAATAATGTGGCGGGGAGGGGAACTGCCTGCTAATTTACACTTTAATTCTGCTTTGAGCATCAGTTTGTACACTTGTAAAGTGGGTGTAAATTCACCCTGATTAGTGGAAAAAAGCTTACAGCCTTTTCGTGCATTTCTGTGGTGTGTTGGCCTTCGGCAGAAGTATGAAATCACACATTCTGCTTACAGCTCCTTCTGCAAAGAGGATTAATTAGTTCACATCTGTGTGTGCTGTGCTTGTTTCCTATGCTTCAGATGCAAACAGGGAATCTGTTGTGCTGAAGTACAGAAACACAGAAAACACATGTAGGTTTAAATGAAACAACAACGTGAATCAGGCTGGAGCAAATCACTGCAGGGCTTTTTCTTCCACTGCGTGGCACAAAACGCAGCATGGTCCTAACAAGCATTTATGCTTAAAGTGCAGTGAACTAGAAGTCAAGTCCAAGTCTAAGCATTCAACAAAACTGAAGCATTTAGGCCATCTATTGAGTCACCATGTATTGGTCACTGCTGGAAATAGGAGTTAACAGACAAAAGGTCTGATATGGTATAATCCAATATTCCTCTAGCATATATGTTAGGAGGGAACAAACTAACAGCTGAAGTCGGAGCAGGAGTCAGCCTTCCTTCATTTCTTTTCAAGTTGTGCCTATAATTTCGCTTGCATTTAAAAAGTACAAATAGCATAGTAAGACTACAATAATGATGAAATAGGAAGCTATGGAAAAGTAGTCCTAGAGCAGTGGTTCTCAACTTGTTTAGGTTTAAGGTAGCCCTCGATACCCCTCAGAAAATGCCAGCTCTGAATTTTCCCCCAGTTTTTGACTGTCGAAAAATAATAGAGCAAATCTTCTGTTACAAAGAACTCACTGCTCCACAGGTGAGAATGTTTTTCATACAATAGATTCTTATTTGAAATCTCTGTGTGTATTTTGTGATGCATGTTGGCACAGTGGTAACATTGTGTGACGCCCAACAGCACCCTAGAAAGGATCTCAAGGCAGCCCAGGGTGCTGCAACAACCTAATTGACAATCACTGCCCTAGAGCAATCTGAAATCCCTTGTTAAACAGGGCACTGAGCTGAAGGGGTGTAGGAAATGGGAAGTTTGGACTAACTTCCCTTTCCCAATTGTACAGAAACAGTTGCTTCTCACCTTCGCATCCTACAGCCCTTGATTCTATTTGTCAATATAACATTTCAGTAGACTTGAGACATAACAAAAATGTCTCCAAAAGACCCGAGAGCTCATTGTAAGTAGGTTCAGATGTGGCAGAACATCTAAGCTATTCAGAGCTGGTGGAGTTTTTGGCAAAGCAGCACATGGTGGTTTCCAGGCAATCTTCAGATTCTCCTCGCACAGTAAAGGAACAGGTCATAAGCTCAGCCTCCCTTCTTACCTTTCTGATGCTCTTCACCCCATACGTGTGATGAACAGGAAAGGGACAGCTTGACTTCCTGAAAGTTCAAAGTCAATGCACTGAGGTCCAGGACACTAGACTTCCCTTTAGATCAGGGGCAAGCAATTATTTTGGGTGGAGGGCCGCTTGATGAGGTTTGGTGAGCTGCCGAGGGCCGCATGGGTAGCCCTGCCCCTTGACAGTTGCCCTGTCCCCTTGTCACCATCTTCAGACCAGAAGTCTCACCCCTAACCCCTGACCTTTGCCACTGGAAGTCCCTCCCCCTGCCCTCCGAAAATATTCTTTTTGGGAGGGAGGGTACAGGGTATGTTGGGGGGTTGTATATATGTGGGGGGTTGTGGGGGCAGGGTGTGGATGTGTGAGGGAGGGTGGGTTTCCCCACACCTCCCACCCTCCCTCACATCCACATGCTGCCCACCCGACCTCCACGCTACCACCAGCCCCAGCCCCAGCCCCATGCTCCTGCCCAGCTGCAGCCCTATCCCCGCTGCCTCCCTACTTGCTGCCTGGAGCCAGCAGGAGACTGGGGAAG